CAGTGTGTGCTTCCCCTCTCATGGCTTGTTGAATGGCTCCCTTTTGCTCACAGGCTCTCCCTTCAGAAGGCCTGCTGCATGCCCCCCCGAAGCTAACTTCTTCCACTGTTGGTCTTGGTTGAGGAGCTCTGAGTGTCTGTGGCCACTCCAGGTCAGGGTTACACTGACTTCTTCTGCAGGGATGGAGTCACCATCCCTAGCAGTGTTTAAGAGACATCTGGATCTGATGCTGGAGGATGTGATTTAGGGGTTACAGCAGAGTGGCACGTTAGTGGTTGGACTCAGTGATCTTGGAGGTCTCCTCCAACCTTGGTGGTTCTATAATTCTTTTTCATACTCTTTCTCAGCATATGCAGGGCTCGATAGGAGAGTTTGCCATGCTTGTCAAGAAAGAAACTGCATTGTTCACTTCTGGTTTTCCAGCCGTGTGATAAAGCCCCTACAGTTTTAGAGACTTTAGAACAATGAAAGGGTAGCAAGTCCCCTGTTCACCTGCAGAGAGAGGAGTTGATGCAGGCATATAAGACATGGAGAGCCAGAAAGATCAGCTGGAATGGGACCAAATTAAATGCATTTACTCTGCACTGTTCCATTAATGCCAAGTAATTTCCACATACAGTGGGATTTTTGTTTTGTTTTGTTTCATTTTGGCACAAGAGAATTCTTTTCAAATGTGAATGCATGAGGCAGTTCAGGCTGCTGGGCTCTTAGGTAAATTATAACAAGCCTTGCCTATTCCCATATGTTCCTCTCCTTTCCCCCTGGCATTTGAAAAGCTGGCAATGCAAAGATGGGAATTGCAAATGCAGAGAGGAAATCTCTTTCCCAGTGGCAGTGATGCTGGTTCTGCCACTCTGGTGCAAACTCCTGGCCTGGCTTCTATCCCCAGGATGCTGCCTTGGCAAATTCAAAGTGGTTTGAAAATGGATATCAGAGAAATGTTCCAGCTAGAAGAAAATTTTCATTGGGGCATAAAATTCTCATGTGGTTGAGTGTGCAAGTACTGCCTGGTCCCACTGGCACTCTGGTTTCTGGGAGCAGTGCTGCTACAATACAAAAAACAGGCTCATACTGCCATGAAATTCCTATGATAACCATCCATACTGTGCATTAGGGACTGTCTTGAAAGAGGAGAAAGGTCAGAGAGATACAAAACTGCTGTATGATAGTTCTTATATTCTGGGGCCCAGACAGTGATAAATGTAACAATTCTCAACAGAGTCCAGGTTCTCATCTCTGCTCAGTGAAGAGAAATGCTAATTTCTATAGTGAAGAGCTGATAATTTTTCTTGGTTTTATTTTGGTGAATGTCTGGAGGAAAAGAAAAAAAAACCCCACACTTTAAGGTCTGTTGCTGCTCCAGTGGTCTTTTTATACATACTGACCCATCCCACGAATTCCCAGATGCCAACTTAAGGCTTTCAAAATGTTCTCTGGGAGGTGGGTCAGCACCCCTGTCTAAAGACAACCAACAGCCAATGCAGACTGATCATTCATGGAAAAGCATTGCATATCACAGTGAGGTGAAGCTTATTCCATGTTTGGAATATTTGGCACTCCCTTTTTCCTCAATTTCTTGCAGTGTCTTTTCAAAAAAGCTCCAACAATATATGTGCCAGTTTATAGAAACCTCTTTTCTCCACTTTATTCTCCCAAAAAACCCAGGCCTAAAAGTGTCTGTTGTGGATCCCAGCTGATGGGAAGACAAGATGAAATGGGGAGGACACTCCTTTCAATCAGTGAATATTGTACTCATTTTCAAAGGTGTTGTCCATTCCCTTTCACTTCCTCTCAGTGGCCTGGGAGTGGGGTTGGTTCAAGGTTCACATATGTCATGCTCCAGCCAGGGCCTGTAGCAGATCTACCAAGGCTAGAAGCTTTGAGTCATGGAAGGGGAGCATTTTTGCATTTCCTTTAGGTGCACTGTTTTCCTGAAGTAAGACGATTTGTTGTGAGCATGCATCCAGGCTGGAGGAACACAATTTTAGGATAAGCAAAGGATTTCAATCTTTTGGTGTAAAAGTCACATGTCAGCAGTATGCCTGCTGTAGACTGAATATATATATGAATCATATCATCCAGTGCACAAACTGTGGAACATGCACAGGCAGCAGCACCCTCAACTTCTATACCATGTATCTGTTCAACAGTCAGACAGGAGAAGTTGCCAAGACTGAAAAACAACTGTAGCCACTGAAAACCTATGCACAGTAGGAGGACATGAGCTCAGCTTGAAATGTGGGAAGGTTTCTTGTTTCACAGCATCAAACAAGCAGTGCTCCTTACAGGGAGCAGTTACTTGCCCCTGAGCACTGGTCCTCAGGCACAGGAACTTCAGTGCATCTCCCCAGCTGGATGAAGTCTTCCCAGCACCCCATTAATGAAAGCAGTTGTAAGGTGAGAACAAGGATGTCTGCTGGAGGAAAGGTTAAATAACACACTGTCTCCTTAGTGCCCAGCTTTCCTAGCTTGCCTTAGAACTGTGGGTTCTTCACTCCATTTCACTGCTGGAGCTGGAGTATGTTAAACTTTGGCAGGTGTTCATGATCTTACCTTTGTCCAGGACTGCTGTCAGGGGGCATTCAGGGGTTCTTTTCCTGGTCTTTAACCAGTTATTCACCACCTCTGGAACCTTCCCTTAGAATCATAGAAATTTAAACCTGAGAAATTTCCTTCCTCTAGTACAAGCTCATGGAAGGGTGACTACATAGAATCATAGAATCAGCCTGGTTGGAAGAGACCTCAAAGATCATCAAGTCCAACCCTACTGTGGTTACTAGACCATGGCACTAAGTGCCACATCCAGTCTCATCTTGAAAACCTCCAGGGATGGTGAATCCACTACCTCCCTGAGCAACCCATTCCAATGCCTGATAACCCTCTGTGTAAAAAATCTTATCCTAATATCCAACCTAAACCTCCCCTGGCAGAGCTGGAGTCTGTGCCCTCTTGTCCTGCTGCTGGTTGCCTGGGAGAAGAGACCAACCCCCACCTGACTCCAACCTCCTGTCAGGGAGTTGTAGAGGGTGATAAGGTCTCCCCTGAGCCTCCTCTTCTCCAGGCTAAACACCTCCAGCTCCCTCAGCCTCTCATCACAGCACTTGTGCTCGAGTCCCCCCTCACCAGCCTCGTTGCTTTTCTCTGGATCTGTTCCAGCACTTCAATATCCTTCCTGAACTGAGGGGCCATGTCACTCATCTGCATTTTTTGTCAACTAGTTATGACTATCTTGATAGTTATTATATAGCTAATAAGTCTTCTGTCTCCAGTTACCTCAAAACTTGGATTTCTATGAGATAGATTTGATAAAGCACCTTCTGCATTTTCAGATGAAAATATGCACAAATGCAAATAATTTTCTCTATTATCTGCAGGATTGTTTGCCTGTGGTGAATAGAGCCATTTTAACACGCAGGGTTCATCATGTTTATACAAGATTAGAGACTAAATTTTAAAAAGCAAGAGGGAAGGAATCATAGGTCTCAGTCATAAGGTAAATGACACCAACTGCTTTGAATGTGCACTGTTTTGTTGGAAGTCCCCTTTGGAAATCATGGTTACAGACCCCAGGTGTCCTATTAACAGTGTGCTCTAGTTTTACATACAATTGACCTGCATTATTTACAGGTTGTCTCTAACTGCTCATTCCAGACTTCTCTTCAGATCAGAGGATATAATTTCCAAGGCATTGTCATGCTGCTCATGTTTCTGTGAGAGGGTAGAGACTGTCCTTCTTTACACTGGTATAGAGATAGTATTACACTTGCATGCATGAGGAGTGTTAGAGGAATGTCTTAAAAAGTGAAGAGGAAATGGCCTGAAGACAAAGCTGCCTTCCATGACAGGTGTCACTTGACTATACTGACACTGGTTCCTTTGCTGAGTTCAGTTTCTGGTCAGGGCAACTGCTTCTGGTGGACCATTGTTGCAAATGACACTTGCACATGTTGTTGGATGGCTGTTTCCCACAGGTTTGTGTCCTTACTACCCACTGAAGTTGGCTGTTCTGCCTGTTTGAGTGCTCCTATTTGGACCTCTTAATACCAAGACATCAAAGGCTCATTTTTCCTACTCATAAGCGAAAAACAAAAGAGCTTTTTCTTCAGTCATCCTAAAGTGCTTCTCTCATCTCTGTGACTTTTCAAGAGTTGCAAATAAAAAGGACAAAAAAGCAAAGTCATCACAAATTTCGTGCACAATTTTTGTCTTTGGAGGTAATATCTAGTGAATGTATAGTTGTACAAAAACACCTGAGTACTGAGAAGCAGACATGGGTGCACAGTGGTGCTGGCTGTGAGTAATGGAGATTAATAAATTAGATTTATTCTAATTTTGAGCAGGAGTTGCCATCCTGAAGCTCATCCTGCCTGGCTCTTCCCATGTTGCCAAATAACAAGAGAAGCAAGCTTTGATGGAAAGGAGGGAATCCTTTCTTCCTTCCCACTGCTGACGCTCTCAGTTATAAGCATTGCTGGATTGAAGGGATTTCTCCATCGGAGCTAATTACCCTAAATCATTTCAAAGCCATATGCCTATGTAAACAACTCATAATAGGGGCTTTTTGCAGTAGCATTTACATAAAGATTTTTTTTTCCTCTAGATATAACTCATTTTGTTTCCTGTTGTTGACAGAATATATTGATGGTGTTGCCTCCTACCTCAAAGAGTTGGCATATTATAGAGTATATCAGCCCTAAATCCAAGCTGAAATTCTCCTCCTACCTATTTCCCTCATTTTCTCCCTCATATTTTGTTGGTATCACTGGAAGTTGAAGATGTTAATTTCCTGTCACAGCACTGCAGGAGTGAAAGTCTGGGATATGGTCTAGAATACTTCAAATACTGGATTTTGGATATGTGTGTTCTTCTGCTTGGAACAGGAAAAAAACTAAATCAATTGAAATAGAATAAGTTGGATGCTAATCTGGATAAAGAGAAGGTTTTGGAGTGGGAAAGGTGTTGTGCATAATTTAACTCACATTTTGATCCTCTTTTTACAGCCACAGGGACTTAAAACCAGAAAACCTACTGCTGGATGAAAAGAACAACATTCGGATAGCAGACTTTGGGATGGCTTCACTGCAGGTTGGGGACAGCTTGTTAGAAACCAGTTGTGGGTGAGTGTCTCAAAGCATATTGCAAAAATGTGTGATAAATTCCAGACATAGAAGTTGTCAATAGTGAGGGTTTCAGTAGAGACCTGCAGACTCACACATTGCATTGGTATTTCCCAGCAAGAGAATTTATTTCTATGGTGCATGTAGTGTATAAGATAGCTAAAAGAAGGGGGATTAAGTGCTTTACAGTGAAAAGCAAGCCACTGTATGTGTCACATACAGGTATAAAAACCAAGGCTTTCAGGTTTGGATTCATCTGCATGTGCTGGTATGTGTTTGTATTCCCTGGCCATATAATTTTTGGGAAATGAAATCAGTAGTGTTGACTGTTCCAAGAAGAGGCTTTGAAAATACTAGGGAATGAAACAAACAAATAAAATGAATCTAGGGGTTCTGAATTGGAATTTGCATGTCCTGATTGAGCTGGCTGCTTGCATGCAGCTCTTTGTGTTCATGCTCCACACTGTTTAGTTTCAGCTCACATGTGGGACTGACAGGGAGGCAGCAGGGTCCTTTGCAATTCCAAGCAGGGCATGAGTGCAGGTACAAAGGAGACTGCTTGGAGGAATACTGTAGAGGCAGTCTAAAGTCATTTCTGTGGCAATTCTGTTGCCAGCAGGAGCTTTCTGGGACTTTCCAGGGGAGTCAGCAGTAAGCCCAACAGCTGAGCAAAGTCCAGGGACAGGACATACTCCCTAGGGAAAGGCCCTCTCATTGCCATCATTTCTAGGAGCACCACTGGACCAGCAGCTGCATCGAGCTGCTGCAGCCTGGCACGACTATGCCAGGTTTTAGCTCTGTCTGAGTTTCTTGTAACAGCAAGCTCAGCAACCAGAGCTGTAGACAGTACCAGCAGATTTCTACTTCCTCCCATACAGACTGACTCTTCTTGGCCTTTGGTATGACTTCAGCCCAGGCCCAGCTGGTTACAGTCCAAGTTTTTTCAGTCTGTGCTCTGGGCCAAGGCAGTTCAGGGTAGATGTGGACCTGTCATGGTTCCCTCTACAGCCCAGCCACTGCCTCTTGATCCTGGGCTGTACAGATCTGCTTTCCACGTTAAGAATAATGAAGAGAAAAATTATTTGAACTTCATGATATGATAGAATTCTGTTTGATGAGTGCACTGAGACCCCACCCATTCCTTCCTGTCCATGCCAAGTCAAGATTTGAGCTCTTGAAAAGAAAGGAGCTACGATGGCAAGGCCAAGTGCAGGGTTCTACACCTGGGTCAGGGCAACCTCCAGTATCATCAACACAGGCTGGGGGATGAAAGGATTGAGAGCAGTCCTGCTGAGAAGGACTTGGAGGTGCTGGTGGATGAAAGGCTGGACATGACCCAGCAATGTGCACTTGCAGCCCAAAAAGCCAATTGTATCTTGGGCTACATCGAAAACAGCATGGTCAGCAGGTCAAGGGAGGTGATTCTGCTCTCATGAGGCCCCATCTGAAGTGCTGCATCCAGCTTTGAGGGGTCCTCAGCACAAGAAGGATGTGAAGCTGTTAGAACAGGTCCAGAGGAGGCCATGATTGGATGACTGTAGCACATCTCCTATGAGGACAGAGCTGGGGCTGTTCAGCCTGGAGAAGAAAAGGCTCCGAGGAGACCTTGTTGCAACATTTCAGTACTGAAAGGGGCCAATAAAAAAGATAGGGACACACTTTTTAGCAGGACCTGTTGTGATAGGACGAAGGGTAATGGTTTTAAACTAAAAGAGAGTAGATTCAGACTAGATAAAGGGAAGAGGTTTTATACACCAAGGGTGGTAAAACACTGGAATAGATTTCCCAGAGAGATGGTGGATGCCCTGTCCCTGGAAACATTCAAAGTCAGATTGACTGGGGCTCTGAGCAACCTTACCTGGTTGAAAATGTCCCTGCTGACTGCACGGACATTGGACTAGATGAGCTTTAAAGTTCCCTTCCAATCCCAGCTATTCTGTGATTCTGTACATCTGTTGCTTGCAGCTGCTTTCAAACTTCCCATTTAGATAAGGAAACAAAGTCTTCCCTGCAATTACCACAAACCCTCTATATCCTTTAGATAAAATTTTTCCCCTTCCTTCCATGAAAAAAAAGAAAGAGGAAGTGTTAAAACCAACCCAGTCTCAATTGCCCTGTAGGATTTTTCAAGCTCCTCAGGAACCTCTCAATAGGGTTCCTGTTCTTGTTAGCACCAAGCTCTGTCATCCAAATCTGGAGTCTCAAAGGGAGGCTTCCTTTCCATAAGCTGTGTTGGAATTCAAGCCTCCATGCTTCAAGCAGATCCAGCCCCCACATTGTGGCCTTAAAATGCACTAATAAAGAAATCAATGGAACGGAAGAGATGTGCCTGTAATAAACAGAACACAGCAGCAATGCTATGATCTCCTGCCTTGCAGATGCTTTTTAAGTGTGTTGCCAATCACTAGGCCTCCGTGTGAGCTATTACACCACTTCATTAATTCTCCTGGCATGGAGCCCAGCATGGCTGATACTGGTGTCTTGTGATCTCTCTGGTTTGGGGGGTGAAGGGAAGAAGGAAGGAAGGAATATATAACAATATGCCACACTGTTCACAAAGAAAGGTAATCCAGTTATGACTCCCTTTCCCTTGGAGCACACACAGTAACCAACCTCAGAGCTTTTCAAGGCAACAGTTTTGCCTACCCATGTCATTGGTACTTTCAGCCAGCATGAAAAGGAGCAAAACAGAGTGAATCATGGCTGAGATACTGAGCTTTAATGAGATGCTCCTCTGTGCACCCAGAAGTTAATTTCAAGAATGGCTTTATCTGTGCTGTGAACACTGATAATGAGATGAAACTGTAACATTTCCATTGACAGTCACACAAGGAGTCTCCAGGTATTTCTGTCAGCCAGAGTGGGAGGCTCAGATGGTGTTGAGCCGTGTGATACAGCTAACTTTGTCAGTTCAGCAGAGTGGTTAGACTGCAGTCAAAAATTCTTTGATGTCACAAGTGAACTGCTAAGTTTAGTCCAAAGTTTGGGTAGCCTTTAGGTCACCACCAAGCCTTGACTGGCCTCATGAAGAGTAGCCTCAAGTAGCCTGAAGTATCATGTATTGCATACCTCAGGGTCTGAGTTTTCTGGGAGTGCTCCTTAGGTCTTCATGGGTTTTGGTAGCACTGATGACTACCTGGAGAAAACAATAGAAGTTCAATCCAGTTGTGTTTTTGTAGGAGAGGGAGATAAGGACGGACTTGCTGTTTCATTGGCATAATTTGTCACTGACAAACTGCACATTGGGGCTTGATTGTGAGGAATCACCATTGCTGGAAATGCATATTGTGGAAATCATGCATATCCACAGCACAGAGGAATGAGCTGTAGTTTCAAATATGTACTTAGGCCCCTGAGAGGAAGAGATGCTGTGTGTAGGGTCAGCAGAAATAATTCTGTTTATGGCAGAAATTGCACAGCAAGTCAGTCTTATGGAGCGATAGTCCTTGAAACGCCAAAATAACAGTGAGTCTCTGCATTCCTCAAGGAGCAGGGAAGGTTTGTGAGCTAACAGTAGACAAGGAAGGAACAGAAAGGTGGTAGGCTGCTGCTTCTATTATTTTAGATCTCTTCAGCTCTTCCTCTTTACCCATCCAGGCAATGGCATGCAGAAACACTCCTCTGTTTTTTTCGCAGCAGTGCTTCCCCATGTGCTGCCTTGCAATGTTTCAGAATGGTAGATGTTGTCCAATCCATCCTGAACTGTCACTAGGCAAGAAGAGTGAGTGCCTTATGGTTAAACCTCAAGACTGAGACCCAGGTTTTTTGAGCTTTATTTCTGTCTCTGCTGAAGGCATTCAGGGTGGTCTAGGACAAGATGCATTACCTTTCTCTGCTTCGGTTCTCCATTTTAGCAAGTCATTGCAGTGCCTAAGTTGCTCTGAACGTAAAATGCAATGATTTCTGTAGGAGTCTTGGGAAAGTAGGAAGGGTTGGTGCATTCCCTGGACCTTGTTCCCTTTTCTTGAACTAAGAGGACTTATGGCGAAAATGAAGGATTGAAAGAGAATGCCATTGCATTACAGTTCTTGGGAATTTGTAAAGATCCTTCTTAATTCACTGTTGCTCCTTATAGAAACCTGGCAAAGTAAGTTTCTGCCATCTCTTCGCTTCTCTCAATTTCACTCTTCACAGCTTCAAAACAGTACTGGATGGAGATTGGTACAAGCTGTCAGGTTACCAGGAACCCCCAGCAGTGCTAGTCTCTGTGTTGCCTGTCTCTCAATCTCTCTATCCCAGTCAAGAGTTAGGACAGAGCTGGCATGTAAATGTAGCTCACTCCAGCACCAGACCTGACCTCTCTAGAAGCAGTCAGTATGGAGACTGACACCAGTGCTGACAGCCCCCAGATTCACCAACTGCATGCAACAGTTCTCCCATATTGGTGTCTCCACAGGGAACCCCTGACCAGGTCCAGAAAGCTGAGTGCATGTGGGAAGAGCAATGCTGGTTATGATTTTAGTGAGTGAGAAGAAAGCCTTGTAGCTGTCAGTGGCATAATACAGGGAAACAGCAGGTTCCAAACCCAGCACAGCCAATTCTTCTGCTCTCAGCTTTCCCTAGCAATTCCTAGCAACACTTTGCAGACCCACAGATTACCTGGATCTATTAGAAAAGAAAACATATGTACTCATTAGGACTGGTTACTGTCTCTTCCTGAGCTCATGGTATTTGTAACAACCAATGCACTGTGTGTTTGTTAGAAATGCTAGCAAAGTTCATCTAGCTCCTGCTTTCCTCAAATCTGTGTTTGGTGTATCATTACACCTGTGGTGAGCAGATAATTCAGAAGAGCAATACACCTCGATGTCCAAGCACCATGTCTGATTTTAATAACAAGACATGATGCTGAACATATTCTTTCCCCATTATAATAAACGTGTGCATATGTCTAAAACATATGCAAGTGTCCTACATCCAGTTATTGTTAGGGGTACAAATTTAAGCTCTTAAATTTGGAAATAACAGGATTAGTACTTTTTACCCCATCTCATCCAGAG